GATCCCGCTAGGGGGCGGCGCGCCCTACCTGGGCCGCAGCCGCGGGGTCGCCGCGCATCTCCTCCACGCCGCCGGAGGGCTTGGCGGGGCCACGGGTCGTACACGCGTCTACCGCGCCCGCCGCTTCAAGGCGGGCTTCCCGGAAAGTCTTGACCCGGGTAGGGGGGGGTGGGAAGGAAACCCTCCGAGGCCGGAGCGACGCGCGCGGCCGCCCTGTCTCCCCCGCCCATGCGCGAGGGCGCGTGCGCGTGCGCCGCGAGAAGCGCGCGAGGGAGGGGGTCGGCACCGGGGACACGCACAGCCGGCGGCGCTCAATCGCTGGACGCCCCCGCGGGGGCGGGGCCAATACGGAGGAGTGGGCGTGGCCCGCACGGAGGAGTGGGCGTGGCTTGCTGTTCCCACCGCCCCCCCCCCCAGCTCCACCTCGCCCTTTGGGCGCGCGTGCCCGATCCCGTCCACCTTCCCACTGGAGACGTGTGCAACCAGGTCCATCGGCTGAAGTGAGTGGATTCGAACCGGCCCTTCCTAGATGAGTGTTCCCGTCTGGAGATCCTTCCGCCCCACCTGGGTCTTGGGAATCTCGGGTCCGATCTTGGGTGCAGAAAACCAGCTCAGCGCATGACTTCCTACTAGGTGGGAAGCCGAGAGGCTCTTGCCTCTTGGCACTGGAGTGGCTGCCTTCTTAGACAAGTGGGCAGAAATTTGCTGCCCGACCGGATCCACTGGTCAGGACCAAGCGATGGTCGTCAGCAGTTCTGTGGTCCTGTTCCATGTTTATCATTGTTTTCCAGCAAATACGGGTTGCCCCTCCTCTGATGTGGCGAGGTTTCTTTTGCCACCAAGCTGGTGAGAGCTACCTACCTGCTTGGCTTTTGCTTCTGTGTAACAAACATCAGTTAAAGTCATTAAAAGAAAATTAAATTCTGAGTTGCAGTTGTGGATCTAAATCTAAATTTTATGTTTTAAGAAGATGGGGGTAGATGGGGTGGGAGGGTGGGATTTATCTTAATGGAAGAGCATTGGCCTAGCATGCTAGTGCAAGGCCCTGAGTTCAGTTTTCAGCTCTATGGGGAAACACAAAACAACAGCAAGCACACACGCACCAAAAGCCTAAATTTTATGTTGGACACCGATGGCCTGTGTCTATAATCCTAGCTACCCAGGAGGCTGAGATCTGAGGCTCAAGGTTGGAAGTCTGCCCAGGCAGAAAAGGCCATGAGACTCTTCGCTCCAGTTAACCAATAAGCTGGAAATGGAGATCCGACTCAAGGAGTAGAACCCCAGTGATGAGCAAAAAAAAAATCCAAGCAAGTGTGCGAGGCCCTGAATTCACACCCTAGTATCAACAAAAAGAAGCCTAAATTTTAATGGCAAAACGTAATAACAGTAAGCCAAGCAATGTGTCCTTCCTTGAGTTTGATGTCCTTGTCTTCAATTTTTGGATCTGAGTTGGTTTGTTTTCTTTTGGTGGATTTTCAGGAAGTTCTGTAGACCTTAAATCTAAATGCAAAATTCTTTATTTTTCTTAGCTTTCATCATGTTCTCAAAGAGGCCTGAGACTCAAGACTAAAAGCAATGCTGTCAGGATAATTCATTTCAAAGTGCAAGCTCCTATTTATCCTGTTTATATTGTATTTTTGCAACAGTATGTAAGTTTTACCAAATTCCATGCCACAAAAAATACAGTGAAAAAGCGACATGAAACAACGCTTTCCTCTGAAGAGTTAGATGATAGCTGACAACACTGCATGTCTCAAGTACAAGAGCATCAACTGCTTTTGGATCTCAGGATTATCCCTTTTCACTACTGTCTGTTATACTCCCATAGAGGTGGGGTCATGGAACAAGTTAAGAAACCTGCCCCAGGCTGGGAATACGACTTAGTGGTGGAGTGCTTGCCTAAACATGCATGAAGCCCTCGATTCCTCAGTACCACATAAACAGGAAAGGCCAGAAGTGGTGCTGTGGCTCAAGTGGTAAGAGTGCTAGCCTTGAGCAAAAAGAAGCTCAGGGACAGTACCCAGGCCTTGAGTCCAAGCCCCAGGACTGGCAAAACAAAAAAACACCAGAGATGCCATTCATCCCAAGGGAATGCTACTACTCCGGACTTCACTAAGACACTGGCCTTCATCAATGGATGCAGATGCCAGAATTTACTCCAGATTGCTTTCCTAAACCCAACCATCTTAATCCTGATCTAGTTTTAGAGTAGGTTGTTTTATTTTTATAAGTACCTGAGTTCTACTTAAGAGATAGAAATGAATAAGGCAACTACTTCAAAGTGTCATCATACTCCTTTACTATAAATTCTTCAAATAACATTTCATTTAAGGAACAAAGGTGATGAATATTTTTAGGGAAAGTTAAGAGCCTGAGTTCTTTTGGGTATTTAATTGTTGAAAAAGTCCAATATTCTGCATTCCTGTTGGTGTTTACTCTTTTGACTCACTAGGTTCTGGAGAGAGTGAGGGGAAGACAACCAAAAAATCTGTGTGGTGATTTAAAGATACAGACACAAATCCTGTGATCACTCTCCAGAAAGTGAAGCTTAGTCCTCATTCTATGGAGTGTGGGCAGCACTTAATAATAGCACATGACCCCAGATGAATAGAAGATGGCTGAAGTGACTGTGACTTACATGACGAGGTCATAAAAGCGCAGCAGCCTCCTTGTCACTCTTTGGGGAGCACCGTCACAGAATAAGGATCGCAAACAGCCCCATAAAAAGGCCTGTGTAAGGAGAAGCGGAGCCAACAGCCATGCTCTGCAACCACCACAAATGGACCCTTCGGCCCTAGGGAAGACTTCCGAAGGAGTCTGGGCAGTGTGGACTGAAAACTCAAGGTGGGTACTGAGCCAGAACTACCCAGGTGAGCCACGTGTAGCTGACACAGGCTGCATGAGATAATAAAAGTTTTCTTTTTTTTCTGGAGTAATATCCTCATTCCCTCCTCTCCTTCCCTCCTCCCCCTGCTCCTCTTCCTCCTCCTTTTTTGATCATTTGTGGGGCTTAAACTCTGGGCCTGGGCGCTGTCCCTCAGCAATTCAGCTCAAGATGAGCACTCTACCACTTGAGCCACAGCACCATTTTCAGTTTTCTTGAGGTTAATTGGAGATAAGAGTCTCATGAACTTTCCTGCCTCAGGTGGCTTTTTTTTTGGGGGGGGGTCCGGTCGTGGGGTCTGAACTCTGGGCCTGGGCTCTCTCCCTCAGCTCTTCAGCTCAAGGCCAGCGCTCTACCACTTGAGCCACAGCGCCACTTCCGACTTTTTTTCTTTTTGCTTATGTGGTGCTGGGGAATCGAACCCAGGGCCTCATGCATGCAAGGCAAGCACTCTACCACTGAGCCACCGTCCCAGCCCCCCAGGTGGTTTTGAACCACAGTCCCCAGCTCTCAGCCTCCTTAGCAGCTAGGTTTACAAGTGTGAGCCACTGGTGCCTGGATTCTTTTCTTTCTTTCTTTCTTTTTTTTTAAATATCACATGGGCTCTGGTTCCTAGGCCTGCCCTTGAACTGATGGCATGATTTTTTAATCAATGAGCTTTGCAACAGACTTCTGCAAATGGTCTCAGAATGTAACCATCAGTTGCAACTTTATTTCTCTGTGTTTGGGGTTTATAACAATAGACAAATGAATTTCTGAAACATGACCTACTTATAATCTCAGCACTGCCTGTAATTCTGCTAGGGATTGCTCAGTATACATTCTTTCAGGAGACTTCCTACTTCTTTCCACTCTGAAGGACTGACTTGTTATGCATGGTGGACAGAAAATGTCACCAGCCATTTAGCCCATCTCTCAACCAGGTGACCCATAATATACAGATTGTTTAGGTAATTGCTGAGGCCCACAAGTTCAATTGAAAGGCACATACCTTAGGGCAGTTAACTAAGACAGACATAAAAATAACCCATGACAAACAAAGGCCATTTTCTGGTCCAGATTATCTTGTGGGAGAGAAAAAAAATAACAAAGCTGAACATTATACCATAGCTAGCATTTACTGACAGCTTGTTGATGTGCCAGACACTGTGCAGGGGACTTAACTTACCATAGCTCTTTTAGTCACATCACTGGGAAGAATGTGGTAACCAAAATCATGGATGATGGAATCAGAGTGTTTGTGTTTGAATCCTGATTTTACCATTCACCATCTCATGGTTTTCTTGTAGACTCTGCAACCTCTCTTCACTTCAGTTTTCTTGGGGGATGGTAACTGTTACCACTTCACAGGGCTGCCATAAAGAATAAAAAGCATTATACACAAAGCACATAAAACTTCACTTCCTAGCATATAGTGAGTGCTCCATTAAAGATGAAGACAGAGACACCGAGTCTCAGGGTGATGCAGGGTCTTGGCCAAGGTTTATGCAGCTAACAAATTGTGTTGAATTCAGGGAAACGGACATGATCCTTGAATTCTTTTGCTCAAGGCTAGCATTCTACCACTTAAGCTGAAGCTCCACTTCTGTTTTTCTAGTGGTTTAATTGGAGATAAGAGTCTCATGGACTTTCCTGCCGTGGCTGGCTTTGAATTGTGATCCTCAGATCTCAGCCTCCTGAGCAGCTAGGATGACAGCAGGAACTCAGGTTTCAGATGGTTTCATAGTTCAGATCCAATCATGTCTACCCTGTCTTCCTCTGTTTCTTTCCATTTGTGCCTTAATAGGATGATCTGTAGGAAAAAAAAAGCACCTCCAGCAAGGATACTAAGAGAGACAGACCCTTGTTTCATAGATAAACTATTTGCTAGCACTTTAAGATCTTAGCAGTGCGGGCCACTGGTGGCTCACACTTGTTATCCTAACTACTCAGGAGGCTGAGATAATCACGGTTCAAAGCCAGCCCAGGCGGGAAAGTCTGTGAGACTCTTATCTCCAATAAACAACCAGAAAACCCAAAGTAGTGCTGTAGCTCAAGCAGAGTTCAAGCCCCACAACTGGTAAAATAAATAAGAAATAAATAAATAGCATCTTGTGAAATTCCTCCCTTAGAAACAAATGGGGGAGAGGCTGGGAAGGTGGCTCAGTGGTAGAGTGCTTGCCTTGCATGCATGAGGCCCTGAGTTCAAGTCCTCAGCACCATATAAGCAGAAAAAGCCAGAAGTGGCACTGTGGGTCAAGTGGTAGAGTGCTTGTCTTGAAGTGGAGAGTTGAGGGACAGTGCCCAGGCCTAGAGTTCAAGCCCCACAACTGACAAAAAAAAAAAAAAAGAAAGAAAGAAAGGAAAGAAACAAGAGGGGGAAAAAAGTCTTAACAGTTTTTTGGTTGGTGTTTTTTTTTGTTTGTTTTGTTTTTGCCAGTCCTGGGGCTTGAACTCAGGGCCTGGGTGGGCACTGTCCCTAAGCTTCTTTTGCTCAAGGCTAGTGCTCTCAGCACTTGAGCTATAGCACCACTTCCAGCTTTTTCTGTGTATGTGGTGCTGAGGAATGAAAGCCAAGGCTTCATGCATACTAGGCAAGCACACTAGCACTCTACCACTGAGCCACATT